TATATGGAGTTCAGTGTGATAATCTGATACATGGATACAATGTAAAATGACCCAGTCAAGTAGCTAGCATTTTGATCTCCTTAAACATTAAAAATTTTGATTAATAAAATAAACTACATATTTATGAGATGCAGAATAATATACGTATATACAATGTACACTGATCATGTCAGAGTAATTAATGTTCATATCTCCTTATAATTGCTTTATGTTTGGAGGCTTTGAGCTTATTTCTAGGAGCTATTCATAAAATATGTAGTACATTATTAAGAACTCTTATAGAGTTTTTTTGTATTAACTTACAGCAAGAAGCAGAAACCTTTAATTTTCTACTTAATTAAATGATGTGTGTTCCTATAATCATCTTTGGTAATTTATATCACATTAAAATGTGTTTACTTGGTTATATATTTCTAAAGACTATTGTAATCATGGTAACTATAGTTAATAGCAGTATATTGCATACTTGAAAATTGCTGAGAGGAAATTTTTTTTTTTTTCTGGTACCAGGGATTGAACTCAGGTCCTTGCACTTGCAAGGCAGGCAGCTGAGAGGAAATTTTAAGTGTTATCAGCACAAAAAAATACATATTTGAAGTAATGGGTATGTTAATGAGATTGATTAGCTTTATTTCATAGTGTGTATATATATATATATATGTATATATATATGTATATATATATCCAAACAGGTTGAACATTTTAAGTGTGTACATTTTTATTTCTCTATTGAAAAACAACAAAATACATAGCCATTTCTTTGCCATAAAACTTAAAATTCTTATTTTTAGGTAAAATTCTTAGAAATAATGAGACTCTCGTACAACATGGAATTAAGCCACAGGAAAGTGTACAACTGGAAATCTCTTCTCTAAATCCAGATGTATATCCAATCAAAAGAATAGTTAGACTAAATGATGTCTCTCAAATCATAACTGTCACTGTACAAACTGGTGAGTTATTTGATGTCTTTCAGATAAAGTATTTTCAAGTTCCCTTGTAACTTAACTTCCATTCAGTCTGTTTTTTTTTTTTTTTTTTTTTTTCTTCTTAGGCATTGATCAGTTCCAGGAAGTATCTGTTGAAATTGTAAAATCTGACTTTCACAAGCCATTTCTTGGTGGATTTAGACATAAAATAACAGGAATAGAATATCACAATGCTGGAACACAAACTGTACCTAAAAAGATTCCCGAGAAGCTTAATTTATTTTGTAGGGACACACAGGTAATATTTTTATTTTTCCATTTAGGCTCTTAAAGCTATAGGATTAATAATTTGTTATACGCTATATGACTCAAATAAAATTTCCTAGTTGGTTATATGACAATAAATATAGTAAAAAGAAAAATTAACTTAAATGTATAGAAAAATTATCTCCCCATACATGTGCATATGCACATATGTGTATATAGCGAATACTATATACAGTTAAGACTTATTTAATTTTTTGTTTTTATTTTAGACAGTGTATCAGAGAAAAAAGATCCAACAAACTATAAATACAACATCTACACAAATGACTAAAATTGGTGTGTATGTATCAAACATGACTGATAAACTTGTAACACCAGGAAAATATTTTTCAGCAGCAGAATACCATGCTCAAAGATTAAAGGCGGTAAGATGACTTTATTGTGGGCAAATACTAAAACTCAGTTGCTCTTTGTGTATCTGTGTTTCTATTCCTAAGCCACATAAGCATGAGAAAGAACCCATATGAATATGGGTCACTTTTTGTGGGTATTAAACAAAGTCTTTATCTATAATATCCCTCTATAGAAGCAATCAGAATCCTAAATGTTCCGAATCCTTTGTTTCTTCGTAAGACATCCCAGATGTTTTTTGTGTTGCCTTTGGCCATATTCTTACTGATTCTTATTGATTTTTACTGATCATTAGTCTTAACACTTCTATCTCTTGGCCTTAACCCTTGTCATAGCAGAATTATCCAAGGACCTTTCCCTACGAATTGAAATCAAATAGGAAATTACAGTCCATTTTCTCTGATACTAATATAGTCTCTATTTTATCAATTTCTCAGGGTTTTTTTCTTGTTTATTTTCAATCTCTTTAATCTCTTGTAGGAAGCCTTAGTTGGATCTACCTCCTAGCATTTTTTTATGAGTAAAAGTAAGCTGAAACAGGTATTTAAATAGATTTTCTTTTTTAAGTGAGAGGAAATTTGGAGCTAAGCTGTTGTTCTAGTTTAATCAGCCCAAGATTTTGAAGATGAACCCAGAATTCAAAGTGAGGTTCATTGACTCATTGCATGAAGGAAAACTGCACATCAGGGTAAACACATATTTAGCCTCGCACCTGGTATGACTAGTGCAGTTATTTCAGCAGATGAGCTTTTTACTTTTTTAGTGTAAACTTTTTTTTTACTAAACAAGGGGAAAAAGAGTTATCATAGAGTTTGGGGAGAAGAGTAAACTTTATGTGGAATTTAAGGAAAGGAGCCTCTTGATACTCGAGTCTCAAGGAGTAAATGGGTCGGCATCAAGGTCTAGCCTGGAAGCGGCCAGGGGCCTGCTCCCCTGGGCACACCGTTAAAAGAGCTATAGAATGTTCTCTCTTCTATGAAGTTCTCTCAACTTCATCATCTGGTTTGTAAATCAAGGCTGCTTCTCTCTGTCAAAGCGACTTGGATCCTCTAGGCAAGAGTGAGCGAGACGTTTCATTCTTACCGATCTAATTTCAGACAGCAAAGTTTTGACACTTACGATTTTAGAGAACAAAGTTTCTCAGCAAGTAGGAAAATAGTCACCCAAATAAACTGATTGGAATGACATTTTATAACTGCATCAGGTCCCTGGGAGAAAGGCTGTTGCCTGTTAACTTTGTAGCTTGTTCCATTAGGGCCAGTTATTCCAGACTGATGGTTTTTTTTAGTTTCTCTGGCAAAACTGTTTTCCTTAAGTACTGTACTGAGTCTGGATGTTAGTTTTACAATATCATCCGGAACTTCAACTTGGTTCCATTAATCTCATCCTGTTGCTACTGTGTGATGCAGAATCAGTTGCCTGCTGCTCATCACCATGACTGTATTCTATGTAGGGAGAAAGGAAAAGTCGAGACTCATGTCCCATGTTCGCCATCTTCCAGGGTTTCTCTGGAAAGCCTCCCCCATCTCACTGGCCTAAACTGTGTCCTGTGACTATCACTGTGGCAAGAAAATGTGAGAAATTCATTTTTAAAGAAACACAGTATATCTAAAAAAAGTTGAGATTTTCTTTGTAAGAGGAAGTAGAAGAGATGGGACATTAGGTAGAGAAATCGAACTCTCTATGCCACTTTTGCAACTCCAATAAAACGTTATTAAAAGAATAGAAAAGTGCAAACATGCAAGGACAAAGAATGTATGAGAAGAGAGAAGAGTAAATGCCACAGTTGATGTTTTTGAAATTGTAAAGCAGATGGAGAAGTGCTGACCCATTAGAGTGACAATTCAAGATCCACGTAGAATTCCCCGTGGAATCTTGGGAAGTGAATTGGAGCCTGGTAAGGAGTGAAATTCCACTTAAAAAGTTTCTGTATCTTCATGATTCCTTCCTACTTGGGCCCTGTTTGTTTTATTCTTTATTTAGTTTCTACAATTCAATACATAGTGTTTATTTTTAAACATTTATTTTAGATGAGATTGTATTATGTATGCCTACTGATATTTTAACTTATTCTTACAGTCTCATCTGGTTTAATGTACTAATCATTCTTGTTTATTCTTTACTGACATTTCCTTCTTTTTGCCAGTTTTGTTAAACTTTTTTTTGTTCTTTTATCAATTCTAATTATTTTTATGCCAAATATATATATGTAATCAGACTATATGCCATCTTCTTGAACAAGTGAAGAACCTTGCTAAATATTTCCGTCTTCAGATTTTCTTGTTTCCTCATTCCTCCTATCCAGTAGGGATTTGATCTTATAATTATGCGTAATTTACTACATAATTACAATGTTAGACCTTTGGTTTTATATATTTACATTGATATATATGATTTCTTAAATAAAATATATTTAACTTAATGAGTTTTTTACAGCTTTTATTCACTGCTCTACTTTTCCCGTTAGAATTTATTAATTTTGTTGAAATGTATTTTCAAGTTATTCTTTCAAAGATTGTGCATGAAAAGTAAAAAAATCTAAGTCCTTATTCAATAAATCTGATCCACAGATTTTTAGTTTGGGTAGGTATAAAAAGGTTAGATTCAGACTTATTTCCAATATTATTTTCCTTTATAACTTTGAAGCTGTGTTTTATTAAAAGTTTGATATCAATCAGATTCTCATTTTTAATTTCTTCTTTCTAGAAGCGTTAGGTATTTTCACTTTATCCTTGGTATTTTTTAATATTACTGCATTATGCTTGAGACTTGGTAATGGACCCTTTTTATCTGAGAACTCCTATCTCCCTTTGGGGAATATTTTTGTATTATTATTAATTTTTGTACCAGGGATCAAACTCAGGACCTGTGCCTGTAAGGCAGGCGTGGCACTGAGCTAAATCTCCAGCCCTGTATTATGCTTTGGGTGATTTTAGTACTCAACCTTCTTCATTCTCTTTAGAGTATCCACATTGAGCCATATTTTAAAATCTGAATTTATTGTTTGCATTCCTTATCTTTTTCTTAATTCTTTCTAATTTTTCCACCTTTCTAGTTGCATTGTAAAAGATTTTCTCGCCTACATTTTTGCTTATTAATTCCTTAGTAGGTGTTGCACATTCTCCAGTTGATATTGTAATAAACTGCTACTTCTCTATCAAAGCTCACTCTTCCCTTCTATCCTTGTGGTGATACTATCTGGGCCACTCATGCAAGACTACATTTCCTAACCTCCCTTTTCAGTCAGTGAGGTCCTACAACAAAGAATTGGATGAGTAGGGAGGGACAGTGATGAGAGACACTCTGGAGGCCTTGCTTGTAAAGTGGCCTTTGTCCCTTTCCGGTTCCACTGTCTGGGTGGTGATAAGTAGATCAGCCAGGTGGAACATAGGAGTAGGATGAGATTTGTTATCTATGGCAGAACTTTTCCCCCAGCTCAAAACTAATCTCTCGGTTGTTATGTGAAAAGCAGAAAATTTCTGTTATGTAAATACTTTTTATTGTCTTTAAGTTTAACAAGTTTAATAGCACATGGGCTAACATATATTATTTTTTTAATTTCAAAAATAAAAATTATGATGCAATCTTTTCTTGTTTAATTTTTTTTTATTTTTACGAAATGATTGTTTTATCTGATAGTCTTTCCTTTAAAAATGTTAATTAAATGTAGTCTGGTCTTGTTTTCTGTTTTGTTTTAATAAAGTGATTTTAAAGCTGTAGCCTCACCATCCCGTGGAGGGCTTGTTAACGCACAGGATTTTGGGTTCCACATCAAGATCTAATTCACGGGCGGTCACGTGGGACCTGAGAGTTTGCATTGCTGGTAATTTTCCAGATAATGCCTATATTGCTACCCAGGCCACTACTCTTTGAGAACTACTATGATTGTACTATAATTCTCTTTCAAACAAGTGTAAATTCTTCACTTTTTTGGGTGAAGAACATTTTGTTTTGTTGGCTTTTCTCATATATTTGCTTATTCATAGGTGTGTACTCAGAAAATTTGAGATTCCTAACCCATGTGCTGATCCAGTGGTAGTAGGATGTAAACCTTGATTTTGAGAGGGATCTAATTCCTAGATAAAGGGTTTCTATTCATCCTCAGCATTGCCAGGCCTTCTAGGACACAGAGGCTTCTTCTCTAGGCACAAGAGTTCTCTTGCTGTTTCCCTAAGTTGTTTTAAGGAGCCAGTCCCTTTTGCTTATTGATTGATTGATGAATGATTGATTGATCGATTGATTGAGGTACTGGAGACTGCATGAAGGGCCTTCTTAGTGAGCTACATACCCAGCCCTTTTTTATTTATTTTGAGACAGGATTTGACTAAATTGCTAAATTGCTCAGGCCGGGCTCAAACCTGCAATCTCCTGCCTCAGCCTCCAGAGTGCTAGAATTATAGGTATGCACTACCAGGCTCAGGTCCCTTTTGCATTTTCTAAGCAGTTACCTTGACAGTAGCCCTTCTGCCCAGTTTGTGGCTTGAACCAGTCCTAAAGCCACTTCTATTTTCAGCTTGCCTTCCCAGTGACGAGTAGGTTATATGTTTCTTCATCAGTTTATTTATATGACTCTTTTCTGGAAGAGATTCTTCAGTTTCTATTCATTTAGTGACCCAACAGTATGAATCAGTGTCTTTCCCAGTTTCTGTTTTACATATTTTTTCTGTAATTATTGAGTGTTAGGATAAGGAAAAGCAATGTGTCAAAGTCTGTCCCATCCTCAATCTTGATGTAACCTCTCCATATTGTATTTGTAAATATAATAAATAAAGCCACAAACTGTCAGGTACTTCATGGGCTTTTTGAGGGTTTATATTATACCATACTACCCAATATATTGTACATCCTACAATTTAATACGTATCTGCTTAAGTCCCTCTTCTATCTAACCTGTCACACATCTATCTACCTGCTGTGTATTTGAGACACGCAGTTTTGTTTTAAATACATGCCTAAACTGATGGGAATGAAGATACACTACAGATAATTATGATTCATAAGACTTGTGGCTTGGGCTAAACACTTTATTTTATGCATATTATTATCATCATCACTGTTTTATAGATGAGGACACTGAAGGAGAGAGACGGCACCTTTCCCCAAATCATACACCTACGTGAGCAAAAGGGTAGATGTAAACTAAGTTGTACTCCAGCGTCTGTATCCAAACTATTGCTTTAACAGCCTCCTATGAAGGTGCATGTGCTAGATTTCAAGGACAAAGAGCAGTGGCACGATTACCACTGGTTTTCATGTTAGTGGCTATAGGAAGCCTGACACAGAGCTAGAATTAGACTCTCATTATTGTTTTGCTGTTATTGAGTCAGAAGCGAAATAATCATTGCTGCCTTTTTCATCTGATCACCAAGTTGATGACAGACATTTTTTGTTTCCTTTTAATTTAAACACAGGTGATAGCAATACAAACTTACTACCGGCGATGGCACGCTAAAATCTTCGTGGAGGATTTAAGAAGACAGAGAAAGTTGAGGTTGGAATGGGAAGCAAAGGAAGAACTTAGGAAAGTAAAAGAAAAAGAAGAATGGATGCAGCTGGATTATTACCGCAGGCATAATCCTAAAACAAAGGAGGATTTTGAACTTCTTTATAATGCACTTGAATGTAAGTTTGACATAGGTTTTGCATAAAAGATTAATTTAAAAAATTTTTCACAAATACGAAGACAGTTCACTGAAGGCAAAAGGAAGACTTTATTATCTTAGGAAGATTATTTGGCAATCTGGGATAGAGAATTGAGAAAGATGAATGTGGTCTTACATTTAGGACAGGAATGAAGGCTGCAATGAAATTAAAAATGCTATTATATTAACAATTAGGAAATATGCAGATTGTTATGTAGATTGTGCAGTTTTAATATCTTATTTCATTTGATTCTCATGTGAGATGAAGAGAGAAAACACTGTCTCATCTGCTTTTCTGATGTTTTTGGCAACTTGTCCATTCAGAGACAATCTGTTTAATTCCTCAATCCTGCATCCTGTCTGGTTATGCTCTTCAAAGGAAGAAATTGGCAATACCTTTTTTAATCTCCCAACTGCAACAACAACAATGATAATTCATTCCTTATTTCTTCTAAATATCATCGTGTTGGTTAGTGATAAAGTAAATGCTTCTGTTGCTTGAACCAGTGAAGAATCCTCTACTCAGGGCACGGAGCCACCATTTCCCTTCTTGGAGCCCTGTCTCCCTTGCGTGTCCTCCGGTCTCGGGATAAATGTCCCCCGCCCTGAGGACTTCGTGCTGGCAGCCTAACTCGAGCATTCTTCTATCCCCTCACTGTGCTCCTCACACCCTAATGTTTTCATTTATATCATCACACTTTATAATAATGCATCTTTTGTTTAACATAGTTTCCATCACGGGAAGCTCTATAGGAATAGTTCTTTTATTTTTGATACTCTCTCTTTCTCATCGCTTAGCTCATATACCTAACAAATACTGGTAAAATGAGTGAGTTGAGCTGGAGCTTCACCCATGTCACCAGAAGCACCTGCTGGCGTGGAAATGACTGGAAAAGAGGAATTATTATGTTAGGTGTCTCTGAGTGGAGAAACGGGGTTCTTGTGAAGACACAGAATTTTTAAAAATTACAAGTAGCCTCATATTGTTTAGTTGAGCAGGGTCTTTTTATCCTAAGAAATAAATATTTGATTTCTCTATGATTATTTAAAACATTAAGCTCATTTTCTTATATAGCTTTATTTCTTCCCATACTAGATTTTTGTGAATGTTATATGTTTTGTTGTTCATTCAGATCATGATTTCCTCTCTAGTTGTATACATTTTTGTGTGTCACATTTTGGGTCTATTTAAACAGCTGTAAGATGGGCTGGGGATTTAGCTCAGGAGTTCCAGCCCCTGCCTCTCAAGTGCAAGGACCCAAGTTCGATCCCTGGTAGCAGAAAAAAAAAATAGCTGTAAGATGATAACCTATTTATTGGAGACAATATAATAAAACACTAAGTCTAATAATCAATATTTACATATTAATCTGTTTGTAATACACAGCATAAAGTGGCTTGGGGATGTTTACAATGTCATGTAGCAGTGTTGAGGTAGCTTGAAACTGTCTTCTTTTACTTGTACATCTGTTTTCCCAACTCATTTAATCACTAATCTCTGGGAATACTGTTATTTTTACTTTAAACTTAACTTCTATTTCATTTTTTTTTGTCAGATGATAACAATGGTCATGTATCAGTAATTCATTCAAGAGCGCTATTAACCAGGTGTCTATGAAAATTCTTACAGACAAGTATAAAATTAACATTGTAGTAGAGCAGAGTTCATTGCAAATAATATCCTAAGGTCATATCTGAATTAACTAAAGGATATAATTGTTATTTTTCTTTTGTTAACAAGCAAATGTGCAAAATTATAGCAAACATGCTGAGTAAGACTCTGCCTTTTCTACATATGAGAAGTGTTTACTAACACAGGTTACTGACTTATTCTTAGCTACCTTTTTTAAAATCTATAAAATAGTCACAATAAATTCTAGCACACTACTTCATGGAGCTTAGTGAAGTGAACAAAGCCCAAAATATTACATCTATGAAAGTACTTAAAAAGTGCCAAGATCTATACATATATGAGTTACTGTTACATGGTGTCTTAGTTCTTTTTCCTGCTGTGGCAAAAAGGCAAAATACCTGACACCCACAAGTAAAAGGAGGAGAGATTTCAGTTCATAGTTGTCTGGTTCCAAGGCAGGTTGGTATGGCCAGAGGGGCCTGGCAGGAGAGAAGCAGTTCATGGTGTGACAGGCAGCGACCCTTCCCTGTTTTTTTCCCTTCTTATCTCATCCAGGCTACAAGCCTATTGGTTGGTGCCACTCTCACCCGGGGTGAGTCCGCCTTCCTCAGTAACTACTCCAGATCTGTGGTAAAGCACTCACTGGACTAATCCAGTATCACACACCCATGATCTCGTCTCACCTGCGAGCACATGAGACTTTGAGGGGACACCTAGATATAAGCCATAACATATGTTAAATCATTTTATACAAAATTTCTATATTAAAGTAGAACAGGTTTTATATGAGTTTACATTATTTGTATGAAACAGGAAATGAAACGAATGGAATTTCTTGTGTAAGGACATCTTTCAGTTTTTTCCAACTCTAAAATTATAAGTAAAAACCCTTAGAATATTTATTTCAAAATTCTGTCTGATGTAGTTAAAATCTGGTTTACATGCTCAGTAATTTATGTTGGCCCTTTAGTGTGGTTTCTGTAACTCCAGTCTTTGAAACTGCTGCCCTCTTGTGGCTCATAGTGGCAGTTGTATAGTTTGAAATTAGAATTCCTAAGATGAAATGTAACTTTTCTTTGAGACAAGTCCTTCAGCAATATAAGAAAAATAACAAATTTAAGAAAATAAATGTAACTGTATAAAATATATCAAAGACAAGACTGTCTTCAGCCAACATTTGATTTTTATGTCTTTTTTATAGCAATATATCGAGAGTGACATTTTTCACTAGTCTGAATTGTCGTGAGGAATGGTAGTTGAAGGAAACAGATTCTAAGTGTCCCATATTATAAAGAAAGCCTGAAATAATACATGTTGTGTTTATTCTGAATTGTTATATAAGTAGAATTATTCAGAATTTTTTATGTGTAGCTTTTAAAATTCAGTATTATGTCATGAGATTCATCCATATTATTGGGTTAGTTCAGACAGTATACCATTGCATGAATATACCATGATTTATTTATCCATTTACTGTGAATCTGTTCTCCCTAGCCCACTCACAGTTTTGTTAAGTACAAGTAGTGCTATTACAAATCTCTTTTGGTGAAGATAGGTGTACATTTCTTTTAAGTGCAAATCTAGCCGTAGAATTTCTAGTTCATAGGATATCAGTATTTTCAGCCTTAGGGGATCTTGCTGGAAAATTTTTCAAAGGTTATACCAGTTTATATTCCTATAGGAGATTGTGAAAGTTTTAGCTGTTCTGTCACCCTCCCCAACATTGGGTACTTCTGTTTTTTTCATGGTGGCTCTGAACAGTGTGCACTGCTGTCCCCCTGCCTCATTTTTACTGAAATTCCAGCAATAGGTGATACAGCAGGATATTAGTGTCAAAAAAATTTACAGAAGAAATGAAACAGGAACTATCCTAGGCCCAGGGACTACTCAGCCAGACCAAACACATAAACAGGGAGTAGGAGAAGGGATTTGAAGAGGTTAGCAAAGTGCTTAAAATATTTTTTTAATATAGGAAGCTACCACTATGCTTTGGGGTGGGGCCAAGGAGCATTAGTACTTGCTAACTACATGCCTAATGAGAGGCACTTCAAGTGCTTACAATGTTTCTTTTTTTTTAGGAATGCAAAAGACTGGTGCCTAAACCTGTTCAGGATGGTAGATTGGAGTCAGACCAGAGATGTAGAGGAGAGCTGACAGAGGTCTTTGACACTGGAGACTGTTCAGGCACGGAGATGTACATCCCTGCCTGGATATTTTTTTGCAGAGAGGTGTTTGCCTTCTCTCAAGTGGGAACTACATAATAGAGAACAAACGCAAGATTGGGTGATTTGAGGTCCTCTTGGGTACTGTTCAAAAAGACCAACTGGCGATGTGATAGAATTTGGTCAGAAAGAAGGTTGGCATGAACAGTTGGTCTTCTGTAAGTGGCTACTAGAGAGAGTGCAGATGTATCTGTCTGGGGCCAGAGGAATGGCAGGAGGAGAGAGATTCCACTCAAGAGCCTCAGGAGAGTGAGCATGGATCATCTGTCAGGCCTGGAGAGTGGGAGTCCACTCTACCGAGTAAGAACTGCACCTCTCCACTCACTGATCTCCCAAAGCCAGTGTGGAGAGGAAGCACAGCTCTGCTGAGGAAAGGTGCTCAGGTGACGGTGAGAGCAACAGATCTACATTTCCCTGAAATGTCTACAGCAGGTTTCCATCCTTGCCACTTTGGGCTCATCTTTTCATTATTTTAATATTTTCAGAGCAGAAATTTTTAATTTTGATGAAGTTCAGTATGACAGTTTTGTCATGTGTGGATATCATGCCTTCAGTGTTATACTTTAAATCTCAACATTATATTTTAAGTTCACATAATTTTTGTCCTACGCTTTTATCTGGGATTTTATAATTTTCTGTTTTTCTATTTTAGATATACTATCTATTTGGAAATAATAATATGAGATTAGAAATATTTGTTGAAGTTAATTTGTAAATGTTGTGCTTTTGAACATCCATCTGTTTCCATACCGCTTGTTGACAATGCTATTCTCTCCCCATCAAATTGCTTTCATTTCTTCTTCCACATTTTAGTCCCTTTGGGCTGCTGTAATGCAGTACTGTAGATTGGGTAGCTTGTAAACAATAGAACTTGATTTCTGAGAGTTTCTTAGAGTTTAGTGTCTGGTGAGAGTCCTTTCTTTGGTTCATAGATGAAGCAGTCTCACAGCGCTCTCGCAACGGCGGGAAGGTGACATGCTCTTTTGGGCCAGTTTTGTAAGGGCACTAATCTCATTTGAAGGCTTCACCATGAAGACCTAATCATCTCCTCCCAATCCCGTCTCGTAGTATCAATGCCTTGGAGGTAAGGAGTTGAACATATAGAGGAGACGCAGCATTCAGATC